CGCCCCGCGGCGCTGCCCGGGGCGGGCGGACGGGCCGGGCGGCAGCCGGCGGCGCGCAGGGCGGGGTGTGGCCTCGCCATTATTTATGAGCTCCAGCCCCTATTTGCTCAGCTAATGATGCACCGGCGGCCGCCGAGCTTCGCCTCGCCGGAGCGGCGGCCAGGGCAGGGCAGCGCCTGTAACTGGAAACCAGCGCCGGCACCGGCACCGCGCGGCCGCTCCATTCACTCCTAGGTGCGTGGTTGCGCGCAGGGGAGAAGCGCTCCCTGAGCCTCAGGAGTCCACTGCCAGGATTATTGTACAGAGGAGCCGGGAGTATCTTTGCAACCAGCACGAGGAGAGACTTTTCTCTTTTTTTCCTTTTTTTTTTTTTTTTTTTTTTTTTTTTTTTTTTTAATTTATTTTTTTCCCTCTGCCGTAAGCCAGGTTTGGAATTAAAATGTTCTGGTAGCAGGAGTGGAGTCTATAAACTGATAGAAACCAGATAGAAATCAGTATTACTGCTGCTTCCAATAGCCGGGTAAGCATAACTTAAAGTTCTCTGTCTTTTCTGTAATAGATGTGAAATGTCTCTGATTGTTGGAATTTGCTGCTGTTCACAGATAGTTAAACCAATGTTTTCCAGATTGGAATAGTCCGTGTTTGGCAGGGTTTTTTTTTGTATTTTTTTTTTTCTCCTTCATTTATTTTCTTTCCTCTGCCAAGTGATTTTCACTACAGGATTTAGGGGTAGGACCCAGGCTGTAGCAGATGACACCTGCACAGCACTTCCTAGCAAAGCGCTACTATACTTTCCAGAAGCCATGCAACATGCTGCCAGCGACCTCCGTGGCAGGGAAACTTCACTACTTCACTGTCGTAGCGGTTTCTCTGTTTGTTTACAGTCAGAATAGAGTGTAAGAACAGAAATGCAATTAGACACTGCTTTTTGTCTGTCCTGAAGGATTCTTTTAAAGTACTTGCAAGGCTTTAGGTCTGTGTGTTGTCAGCAGAGATCATGTGCACTGGACGTGCTGAATATAGTAGCATGACTTACTGAGATAAATTCAGAGCTGGGATATAAGCCCAAAGCAAGAGTGAAACCTGCAATGAGCTGTCAGTTACCAGCTCTGTAAATCTCTGAAATTAAACCTATTTCCATTAGGTAACTCACATGTCAGACACCCTGAGGTACCTTTTTGGCACTATATGCATTTATTATTTATGTGTCTAACAGCTGGGTAGGAACCATGCTGCTCAGCACTTGAATCTTATATTTGCCTGTCACTTCTGTGTTAACAGTGAAGATCTGCAATTTGAGCAATGAAATGTAGCAATGTTTCACTCCTCTAACTGATTACACTAGAATTGGCAGGAGGCACGAGAGTGGGAGGGAAAGAGAGCTGAAAGGGTTTTTTTCTATTATTGTTTCCTACAGTATTTAAAGGAAGAAAGAAAGCCGCACACTTGTTCCTCTTTGACTTTTTATCTATATAGCAAAGAAAGCATAGTGCTACTACTGTAAAATACTTGTCCCATTGCGTCTGTTAAATCACATGTTCTGTTGGATTGGCTATTTATTTTGGCCTGACAAAGAAATTTTATTGGGATTTAATGCCATTTCTCTCTTAGAAGAGGAGTAAGTTAAAGGATATCCCATGGGCAAGTCACAAGGTTTTAAATTTAAAGCCCACAAAGCCACATTAGTACTAGAGTTCTCGCAGCCTGTTTAAAAATTATTCTTGGCAAAAACTCTGCAACTATCATTTTATTAGTTAACAGACCCTTAGAGATAATTTGGAACTAAGCCAGAATGGATATGTTTTTCCTACAGACCCGATCTGTAGCTGGCAAATTTCTGACAAGGTTGTTTTTGTCAATTAGCAGAGTTGTAGAATTACTTGATCTCTTTGCATTTCTCACTACTCAGAGCAAATAATGAAGGAGAGTTTAGAGTGTGGGCTGCAGAGCTCTGCGCTTTCATGCACGCTCTTCTTCCCACCCCCAACTTGATGAGAAGTCCTCATGCAAAGAGAAGCCTTTCCAAGCGATCTACAGTGAGTGGATAGGGAATGACAGAGGTGGTAACGGGATACGGGGCTTTTACCACTAAGTCAGTGGTGTGAATCCAGCCCAAGCTAGTGCTGACCTAAAGTCATCCCTGCCTGACAGCTCATTCCTGCCGTGCTGGGGTGGTTACAGCCGGTCCTTTAAGGACAGGTGTGAGCCTCAGAGGGACAGCATGAACGAGGCTGTAGAAATATTAGCTTCCACTGGAGGGACTGTGGTGCTGGAGCAGAGCTGAGGTGAAGAACGGCAAGCTGGCTGCACAGGTAACAAGTCTCTTCATAAAATAAATGTATAACCTTTAAGGGTATCTTCTAGCTGTAGGGGTTGTGTCTTTCCCAGTGCTTCCAGTTGCCATAAAATCAAGTATATCACCTGAGTGGTTAACTAATAAGTGGTGTCTAGTAGAGGGGCTATTTACATAAAAAAAAAATGTTTTATATATATATATATATATAAAAGCAGTGAAGTAAAATAGGCCTAAAATGATGGATGATGGTGTTACATATTCTCACTTTTGCAACTGAGCTGACAAAGTTGTTTTAATAGGTGAAATGAAATTTGTGCTTTGCAGTTTTTGGAGAGATGCAGTTTAGTAGCAGATGTGATACAGATATTCACTGTTCAGTTTCTAATGGTGGCTGGGCTTTTTGGATCTGGTCTAAAGTCCATTAGAAAAGCCACTTTCCTCCAGTGATTCCAGTGACCTCAAGTCCTTCCTGAAATAAGAAAAGATGCAGAGTTCTGGAGTGTTTTCTGATTCTTTGAGATGCTCAGGCTTCTCAGCAGCTAACTCCTATAAAATGAAGGTTCAGCAGGTGTGCAGAAGGAGTAGCAGATATATCAAGTGTGATATCATTGTCCAGCTCTGGGATTCTTAGTGCCCTGTAGAAGTCAGTGAGAGCAGGTGCGTGTCCTGAAAGGAGCTAGCCCAAAAAGCAAACGTTGACTAACAGTTTCAAGTGTGTTGAAATACTTTTGGTTTCACAGTTTTGTAATTAATGGCATACACTGACAGAATTTCTTTAAAGAAAAACTTGAGGGTGTTTAGAGAGCTCAGCTTAACTAAAACTTAAAGTTCATTTCCAAGCACTTTTGATTTCAGATGTTTAAAGAAAAGAAAAAGAACCCAAACAACCAATAACCCAAACCTCCCCCCTGCTTAACATGAGAGAGAGATGTCTAAAAATATCAGCCAGATTTTTATTCGTGAAACTTTATCTCCCGTCCTTGCTTTGCTCTGCTTTGACATTTAGTATAATTATATTTCCAGCAGGTGGAATTGTCTTCATTTTAAATAAACTGAGTCCAGTGCTGTAGTCTGCCCTAGCCAAAAGCTGGGCTCTCTTGGTTTCTACTAACAGGCAGAGAGTTCCTCTTGTGCCAGCACAGGAGACTGCTGGGGAAATCCACTTTCAGATGCACAAAGGAAAAACAGAAGTGCTGTACCTCCTCCACATCAGTAATTATGGCTTCAGCTGGAAGAGGCTCCAACACAATCTTTCCATACTTTTGTTTTTGCTCCACAAGATTGTATGAGAAGAGTAATGTGATATATCTCTCTTTCAGGTTTCATTTCTTGGATATTAAGTTGCAAATCTGAAGAGATGGCATTTCTTGCATTGAACGTGTTGATTGGGATATTTATTTACTTTAGCAGTGTAAAAGGATCTTCCCAGCCTCAAGCAAGGGTGTTCCTAACATTCAATGGTAAGAAAGAAGATAAACATTCTTAAACAAATATTATGATTGAACATTTTCTTCCTCTCCTTAAATTCAGTAACTGAGTAGAAACTGGCATTTTGATCTGTGTCCATAATAACAATTTTTGGTTTGTTGCTGAGGCACCTGTCAGCTCAAATTTGATTCTCTTACCAGATTCTACCTATCACTATAGATGCATATTTAATATATAATTAATAATTAGTAGACTTTTCTCTTTATTTTATTGTGGATTGGATTATTATGATTGACTAACAACTAAAGGCTTATTTCTTATCTGTAATTTTGCTTAGAAAAAAATGTCACATGTTACATGTGGTTGAGATTATTAATGATTTGAGTTGCTTTCCTTTTCAGTCAACTGAAACACTTTGTATTCTAAAAATGAGGCTGCCTGAAGTTTTACCAAAATAGTTAGCCAGGCACAGAGTCCTTTGGAGAATTACCATTCCTTGTGCACTTTGTGCTCTGTGTAGGATGTACATAGCCTGTAGCAATCACTGATGCCTTCATACTGTAAACCAGCAATGAAAATTATCATTTTTCAAAAGAAAGTTTCTTTTACTTCTGAAGTGCTGAGCAGTATCTCAATGCTGCAATTATGCCAGTATTGCTTTTAATAGTAAAGTAACTTATTCTTCTAGTCTTAAATGCTGTTTTTAGCCACCACTTTAGAATGTGTGTGTTCTTCAGTTTACAGTGTCTGTTGAACCTGTGCTGAAACTTTCTGTCACTAATTATAGAGGCATTGAGTTTCTCCAGCCCTCTGCCTTTTCTGTGATTGTCTTTGAGGCATGAGGGCTTGCTACTTCTGCACCAATACTGCTTGCATTAGGATGGCTTCTGTGGTTCATTAGTGCAAGGATGTCCTGCCACTGCCTTGGGAATATTCTGTGTGCTCTGAACAACCTTTAAGAATTGTTTTAAAAATAGTCAGAGCTAGTAAGTGTCTCAAACTTCTACTTGCTACAATGATCAGTAACTATGTAAACAAGAGACTGAGAGACATCCAGAAGGAGACTGCCAAGTTAGACCTTCTGCAAATACCACCCAGAGTTTGAATAATTATATTATAGAATAAGGGGCCCTAAGCTGATGAATGCAGTACTTAATAGGTGTGAAATAGCATGGCTCCAGTAAAAGCAGTAGTAGGAATTGAGTTCCAAGGGGGAATTCAAATGAAGAAGTAAGGATAGGAATTTCTTTTCCTTGTTTAAAGTCTGCACTGGTTTTGGTGGAGATGGCACTGTTTTGGCACAACAAGAAGCAAGTTTGGCTGTGGTTGTGTGTTACATTGCAGGTTTGCCACAGTTATGCAGAACAGGCTGATTTAGATTGCCACATCATCTCCTTGGTGGCCTTGAAAGTAATCTAAGCTTCCTTTGATCTCTGGTATGACCATGAAGTAGGAAGTGTTCATGTTTTGTGGTATTCAACCTTGTGAATGGGGAGGAATTATAAAGAGAGGCAAATGGTTTTAACAGAAGCTCAAGAGCTTTTGTTTCATCACAGGTATTCTGCAAGGCTGAAACAGTGAAGTACTCATAGGGGAAAAGACCCCAAACCTAGGAATTAAAAAAAAAAAAAACAAAAAAAAAAACACCAAAAAAAAAAAAACCAACAAAAACTAAAACTGAATTAAAACCTTAGTTTCTGTGTTCCTGAAAGGAGGTTGTCCCACCTTCCTTTAGAAGGGGCTATGACAGCTTCATGCTGCAGTGACCCCTTTGCCCTTTGTCTGGTCAAGTTTTGGGCCCCAAGAGCTCTGTCCCCTGTGCCAGCCCTGGGGACATAGCCTTGCCTCACTAGTTCCTGCTATAAACCTCCTTGGCTGCCTTGGTTAGAGAGCCTTGCAATGCTATTTGATTTTCTTAAAACTGACTTATTACTCTCCCTAATACTTAACAGCCAACCTTTAAAAAACAAATTACATTTTTAGGTCCTAAATTTTTATTGAGTCTTTTGAAGTCATAAAAGTAAAAAATGAATTATGTGTTTTTACAATATGAGAAGTATGTCTGAAATAAAAAACTAAGCTTTTTGTGTAATATATAAACTGAAGTTTTATTTTTAAACCTGATTTCCAGATGGTAAGAAACAACTTTCATTATGTGAAAAGAGTTTGCAGGTTGTTGTGTATACCAAGGTAATGCCCCCACCTGTAGTATGAACTTCTGTTCTATAAATCTTTGTTTACTTACATGAGTAGAGATGTAATAGAAAAAGGTGAACATTTGTGTTGTTCTCTAGCTAAGTGTCATAACACTTTCTTCATAATCTGCTTCATAACTTCTTGTTTTTAAATCATGTAGAAATACCAAGTTATTTGGCAGTCTCTTTGTCCTGAGAAGCTGTCAGTTTTTATGGAGAATTGTCACTCTTTTAAAGTGCATCGTTTGAAAATAAAACCATAATTAGTACTCCTTATGTTTTAAATGACATTAGACAATAAAGACAACTCATTCAAGCTTAGGATACTTATGTGATATTTTTCAGGTTCTGAATTGGGTTTGGCTCGGTGTCTACAATTACATTGCATAAGTTTTGGGGGTAGAGTGTATACAGGAGGAGAAAATGAGTGATGCTTTTCAAAGCTAACCTGCTCCTTCAGGATCGAGTCAATTGAGCTTATTCACATTGCAGCATTTCTCATGGGAAAATCCAGCAAGTATCTTGACCTATTCTGTTTTTCATCAGGAAAGATAAAAATGCGAATCATTTGAATCATGGGCTGCTTTTCTCTTTGCCATCTACTTCATTAAGAATCAAATGTAATTAAAAAGTGCGCCTGGGTAATACCTCAAGAGCCTGATAATAGGGATTTTGCAATTAACTTCAATGGATGAAGGACTGCAACCCTAACTTCTATTTCTGAAATCAAAAGCCTGGCCCCTTGTCTAATTAAAATGTAGTTCATGACTTAGCTGAGGTTGTTAACTGTGCCTATGACGTGAGTGTGGAACTTACCGCTGTCTGCACCCCGACTGTCTTGAAAATTGCGGTGCTGTACAGAACCCCGAGGCCTGATTCCTACTGCTTGCACCTTGTATAGCCATTTACTCAGCTGAAAGGAAAGGTCAGGCTGCAGCTGAAGTGCTGCTTTGCTCAGGTGAACGTGGCTATACACGGACTGGGCCTAAGGAGAGCCAGGCAAAGGGGCTCTTGGTGTGCCTGGAGCGATTTCGTCTGACCTAATTGTGCTGTTCAAGGGTGATGGCTCAAACCACTGGTACTTGTACAGTGTCTGCACTTGAAGAGCTGCTGCAGTTGTAGAAAAAAAGATGGCCCCAGGCTTTTCTGATTCTGAAATTGCAAGGATGTGAAGCAGCAGGTGCAGCAGTGTTGGGAATCATCTGCTGTGTTCCTGTTGGGCGTGCAGGAGTGAGGGAACCTGGGAGGGGGGAAGCAAAGAACTCAATATGTCTCCCTGCACTGTTAGTATACTATTCCCCCTCCTCCTGCCTCTTCTTGCTCCTTGTCCCTGGAATAGATATTTTCTAATCTACTTAAATCACTGATCACAATTTAAAGCACCATAGTTTATTTTCTCTTCATAGCAAAAGACTTACCTTATCTGTTTATGAACTATCAAGTGTGGTGCCTGCTGTTTCTCAAGCTCCATGCATTCCTTCTTGTCACTGCACGTTCCTGAACAGATAATTGGGAGCTGTATCCTTCAGTCTTCACAGGGAAAAAGCCTTTCTGAAATCAGCGGGAGTACTATCAGTATAAGGAAGGAGGTACTAGACTCTAGGTTAGTGTCAGACTTTGTTTCATTCCAACTCACATTTACTTTTGGGTTTTGCTGCAGCCCTAAAATGCTGAGCCATACTGTTCTAACATCAAATTCTGAACTGATTGAAGCACGTAGAGTACTTATTTTTTAAAATACACTCAAACCTTCTTTGGGATTTAAATTTCTACACTGATACACAATGAAGTGATAATTTCACAATTTACTGGGAACATTTAATGCATTCCTGCCTTGAGTTTCTGGTCTAGCGGATATTTCCCATGCAGATTCTCCTATTGTCTGCAGTGAAAATTCCATATGAGAAGTGGATCAAGGCTAATTTGCAGACAGTTTTGTTCTTCTCTTTGTTATAAAAATACTAGAACATGTAAAGGAATTTTAAGAAAGTATCAGTCAGATTCATTAATGACAATTAAAGTGCATAAAATGTCACCAGAGCAACAGCAGCACTTATTCAACTGTCAACATATTTTAAAAGATTTAATGCAACCCCTGTGGTTACCCTCAAGGAAAAATAAAGGAACTGAGAACCATTTTCCTTGAGCTCTTGAGCAACAGCAGTACAACTTGTTTTTAAACAATCCCTCATTGTAATGTTAATGTTACCACAGTTAATAAAAAGTTCATTTATTATTTGGGGGACTTTGTGCTGATGACAGTCTAGCAGGCAAAGGTTTACACTCATAGTTGATTGGATCTTTTTTTTGGTGTTCATGGAATGAAAGCTGTTTATGAAATTAAGTAGAAGTAAAAACTAAAGCATTAAAAGAGAAAAAAAAAGAGAGAGAGGTTTAATTCTGTTTACATGCAGAACTTACCTTGAATGTTCATATAGTTGCTTGATTTTCAGCAAATTGTGGTTAATATTTTCTCAAAATTAACTGATTTGGGGCTGTCACAGCTTCATGGATCTTAAATAATGTTAATTTATAAAGTGTTGAGCATCAACAATGTGAAAATTTCTCCAATTTAATTGTCTCTCACTGGAGATCTAAAAAACTTTATTTGAATACATCCGACTAGAAATAAAATTCCTTTTTATCTTTAGTAGTGAAAATTGGTTTTTTTACAGTTTGTTATAGAATCACAGAATATTAAGGGGTTGTAATTGATTTTCATGGATCTGGTCCCAACATCCCCTGACATGGGCAGGGATATCTCCCACTAGACCAGGTTGCCCAAGGCTTTATCCAAGCTGCCCCTGAACACTGCCAGGCCTGGGATGTCTGCAATC